TGCCAACTTCTACAGATAAATGATTCTAGAAGGAGAGAAAAATAATAATGAAAATGTTTGTAGAAACAATTTAGAACTTTTCCCAGAATTAAAGAAATATGAAAAACTTCAGATTACAAAATATCCTAAAATATCAAACAGAGAGGAAAGAAAAAGCCTAGACATAATACAGTATAATTTAAGAACACCAAAACCAAATGCAATTTTGATATCTCACAAAGAAAAACAGATGACCTTCAAACAAATAACAGTATTGTTTTTGTGCGTCTGTTTCATATGCTAATATTAGTAATATTAGATGCAAAGAGACACTGAGTAATGTTTCACTGCACTTAAGGACAAAATTTTGAATTCAGAATTTTATATCCTGCTAAATTTCCAGTTACGTGTCAGAGCTTAATGAAACAGTCTCAGACAAACAAAGCCTCAGTAGGATCATTATACAAATATCCAGAGTTTTAGAGAAAGTACTCAAATATGAAGAGGAACAAATCTAGGAGATGCTACAAATAAACATGGAAAGTTAGAATGATCAAATAATTGTAAAAATGAACACTGCACAGTAAAACAAAATTAAAAAGTATAAGCAAATATAGTATATACATAATATCCCAGGATTTCAATTCTAAGAGATCACAATATCAAAATGACCACATTTGAAGGTCGAGAAAGGGACGTGAAAGTGTGTTAAAGCTCTAACCTTATAAGGGGGTGTTGTGGGTTGAATTGTGCCCCCTCACCACCAAAGATATGTTCAAGTCCTAATGCCCAGTACCTGTGAATGTGACCTTATTTGGAAATAGGCTCTTTGTAGATGTAATCAGGTTCAGATGAAGTCCTACTAGATTAGGGTGGGACCTAAACCCAATGACTGGTGTCCTCATAAGAAAAGGAAGATTTGGGTGCAGAGATCTAGACATACAGGGAAGAGGCCATATGAAAATGAGGCAGAGATAGGAGTGGTGCAGCTGTAGTTCCAAGGAACTCCATTGCCAACCACCACCAAAGCCAGAAGAGGCATGGAACAGGTTCTCCCTCACAGCCTCCAGAGGGACCGTGGCCCTGCCAACACTTAGGTTTCAGACTTCTAGCCTCCAGAACTGTGAAACTGTGTTTTTCTGTTGTTTTAAGCCATACAGTTTGTGGTACTTTGTTATAACAGCCCTAGGAAAATAATACAGAGGAAGATACAGATATCAAGTTTTTAAAATATAAATGAAAAAGAATATAGAAAAACCAAGAAAATAGAATGTAAAAAGATGATTAAAACAAGGCCAAATATATCCATAATCATGATCAATATAAATGAACCAAACTTGTCAGTGCAAAAATAGAGATTAATGAATGGATTTTTAAAAATCCAGTTCTGTGCTGATTTATAAGACAACCTAAATGCATAAAGCTATATAGAAGTAGAAAGTAAGATGAAGTAAAATATGTTAGGTAAATGCTAATTAAAAGAAAGCTGGCATTGCTTATTAATTAACATTAAATTAAGGGCCAGCTGAGTGGCTCAGTTGGTTAAGAGCTCGCTCAAGAGTTTGAGCTCTGAGCAACAGCAGTTCGAGTCCCAGCCCGAGCTGAGCAGCCGCTGAGCTGCCAACAGGTAGCAGGATGGCTCAGCTAAAAAAACCCCACATTAAATGGATATAAAACATTAATATAAAATATATACTTTAAAATAAAAAGCATCATTAGGGATATAGAGGTTTATTATATAATAGTAAATGTTCAATTCACCAAGAAGTTATAAAAATTATTTTAAAATTCTAAACATGTACACCTAATAAATTAACTTGAATATATAAAAATTGATAAAATTACAGGAAGAAACTGACAAATCCAATGTCATAGTAGGGAATTTAGCAAATATCTAATTTTGATATGTTAAAAAAATAATAATCAGTCAAAAATACAGGTTTGAATGAGGCAATTAAGAAGCTTGATTGAATGGACATGTTTAACAGTTACAAAAATTCATCATTTTCTAAGTCCTAAAGCAAATCTCAACAAATTTTAAAGAATAGGTACTATCCTGACCAAAATATATTAGAATTTAATAACAAAAATAAGGTATTAAGTTTTTCCATTATTGGAGAGTTAAACAATCTACACTTCTAAAAAACTCGTGGCTTAAATATGTAATCATGAATAAAATTTGAAAGTACTTAAAAATAAATGACATGCTTTTCAATTACATGAACATTTTTTAAATGACCCATGTATTGTGGTTGTCTGAGCACAATGAATTAAGCTGAACACAATGAACAATAAAGTAACTAGAAAAATATTAATGTAATTGGAATTTTAAAATTATACTTCTGAGTGGCCCATGGGTCAAAAAAAAAGTCATAATGAAAATTAGAAAATGTTTTAAACAATAAAGAACTACTTTGTATTAAAACATATGGTATATTAGCTTTACTACATTAAGACATATATTGAGGAAAAACTTATAGCCATTAATGCATAAATTGAAAAATAAATGCTGAAAATTAAAGTCAGGCAAAATGAACAATGAAAAATAACCAAAGAAAGTAGAAAGAAGGGAAATAATATTTTACAGCAGTGAAAATTACTACGGTTATAGATAACGTTATGACTAATGATTGAATAATGTCAGCAGAAAAAGACTACGTTTAGCATGATACCCTTTTAAAAATATATTTAGTAAATGTTAGTAAATGGTTTATATGGTAAGAACACATAACAAAATTTACCATCTTAACCATTTTTAATTGTACAGTTCAGTAGTTATATGTATTCACATTGTTGTCAAACAGATCGCCAGAACTTTTTCATCTTGCAGATCTGAAAATCTATACCCACTAACTCCCTTTGTCCCCTCCCCACAGTCACTGGTAATCACCCTTCTACTTTCTGTTTCTATGCATTTGACTACCTTAGATACCTCTTGTAAGTGGAACCATACAGTGTGTCTCTTTTTGTGACTGGTTTATTTCACCTAACATAATGTCCTCAAGGTTCATCCATGTTGTAATATGTGTTTAAATTTCCTTCTCTCTCAAGGCTGAATAACATCCCACTGTGTGTATACATCACATGTTGTGTATCCCTTCACCTGTCGATGGACACTTGGGTTGCTTCCACTTCTTGGCTATTGTGAGTAGTGCTGCTATGCACATGATACCCTGTTTTTAGAAAAGTTCAAAGGACATCTAGGACTAAACTTTTTAAAGTCATGTTACATAAAATATTCTAAGATATCAAGAGAATGCTAAATAGAAAATTCAGAGTGCGTGTTAATTTGAGGCAGGGTTTGAAGGCCAAGGAATGAAATGGTGACCAGAGTTACAGTTGTTCATTTGGCCAGGCTCTTGTGATTGTTCATAATATTGTGATCAAAACGTTAATAAATAAGACTATGTATGAACTAATAATGATAGTGTGTTGTAAATCGGAGATTTCTTAAGTTGTGTTCCCTTGAGGTTCATTAGAAAAACAATTGTGGGTGACTCTCTGCTGTGATGTGCTTTGTATGCATGTGCTCATAATTTGTTCAATTTATTTTTTAATTCATAAAATTCAGAGTAAATTGCTTTCTGTTGCCTTTTAAATGGTTTTAGTATAATTGTCATACAATAAACTGCAAGTATGAAAAGTAAACAATTTGATCAGTTTTGACATATTTATATACCCGTGAAATCATCACACAGTCAAGATAATGAACATAACCCAATTCCCAAAAGTTTTCCTCTGCCCCATTGTAACCCTGCCTTCTGACTCTACCCATCACCCTAAGCAACCACTGATCTGCTTTCTGTCCCAATGAATTAGATTGCATTGTCTAGAGATGTATACAAATGGAATCATACTATGTACTTTTGTTGTCTGGCTTCTTTCATTCAGAATAATTATTTTGAAATTCCTTCATGTTGTTGCATGTATCAATAGGCCATTCCTTTTTTATTGGCAGATAGTAAGTATTCCATTGTATGGAGATATCACAATTTTTTTTTACCAGCTCACCTTTTTAAGTTTAGCCATTTTAGTAGGTAAGTAATGGTATCCCTGTTAACTATTGAGGATAAGCATCTTTTCATGTCTATAGTTGCCATCTACCTATCTTCTTCGGTGATGTGTCTGTTGAAATCTTTTTTGAGATTTTTTTTTATTTTGAGATGTTTAGAAATTATCGTTTGGATGTCTTTATACACTCTAGGTATAAGTCCTTTATCAAATAGATGATTTGCAAACATTTTCTCCTAGTCTGTAGCATGTCATCTTATGTTCTTAAAGGTATTTTTGAAGAGCAGAAGTTTTCAGTTTTGATGAAGCTCAATTTATCAATTTGTATTTGTGTGGACTGTGCTTTTGGTACCATGTTTAAGAAACCTTAGCCTAACAACCTAAGGCCGCATACATTTCCTTTTATGTTTGTTTTTTTTCTAAAAGTTTTATAATTTTAGGCTTTACATTTAGGTCTCTGGTCCATTTTGAATTCATTTTTGTATGTTGTGCAAGATATGGGACAAATTTGATTATTATTATTTTTTTGCACGGGGATAGTCAGTAATTCTAGCACAATTGTTGAAAAAATCATTCTTTACCATTAAGGTTATTTTCATATTATTTCACTTAGACCTAGTTTGAGACTATGGACTATGGAATGATATAACGCTTAGTGTTGCATGTACATGTGGTAAAGGGTCAAGGAAAGCGAGAGAAGCAAGGCCCAGAATTCAGGGTAGTAGGAAGGGGTGAGGTCAGGCAGGTATCCGCAGAGGACTGGTAGCATTTCCACCTTGTTACCTGGGTGCTGGACACAATGTGTGGTAAAAAGAAGTCTAAGGTGGTCCTAATTATCTCTGTCCCCTGGTGTTACACCTGTGATTATGTCACTTAATGTTGCAAAAGGGATTTTACAGATGTAATCGAGGTTCATAATCAGTTGATTTCGAGTTCTTCGAAAGGGTGATTTGTCTGGGTGGGCTTAATTTGACCACATGAACTCTCTAACAGCAGGATGTTTTCTTCAGGTTGTGACAGCAAACAAAGTCGGAGAATCAAAGGATTTGATTAGAAGGATTTGACTGACATGCCATTGCTGGCGTGAAGATGGAGGGGGCCACCTGGCAAGAAAAGGAGGATTTAAATCCTCCAACCGCAGTGAACGAAATTCTGCCCATCAGCTTGGAAGCTGATCCTTCCCCAGAGCCTCCACTGAGAACTCGGCCTGGCTCATACCTTGCTTTCAGCCTTGTGATAACCGCAGCGGAGAACCCTGTCCCGCCATGCCAGACTTCCGACATACAGAAATGTGAGCTAACAAACGGGTGTCGTTTTAAGCGGCTAGGTTTGTAGTAATGTGCTATAGAGCAATAGGAAACTAATATACATGGGCATTTACATTGCTGTAGTTGTACCTTTTACGTATGTTATAAACATTCTTTAGTGTAATTTCGTTTGTAATAAACATTTTCGCTTTGTAGAATTTTTAAATTTTTCATTTTATTGAGATATAATTGACATATAACATTGTATAACTTTAAGATGTACCAGGTGTTGATTTGTTACATTTGTTTATTAAAGAGAAAGCCAGCAATTAAGTCTCTTGACTTCAGTGGGCCTTCTGAACAATGGTGTGTGTGTGTGTGTGTGTGTGTGTGTGTGTGTGTGTGTGTGTGAAAAGAATGTGAAGATTTGACCTACACAATAATGAAAATATGTCTTCATGCTAAATAATGGGTTATGGGCCATGCCCAAGGCCTTTTTTATAATAAGCCTTTTATTAGACTGCATAAATACCAAGCAAAGACTATAACATTGGACCAAGAATGCAGACTACTATTTATGGGAACCTGGATTTTGGGAAATGATTGAGTCCTGTTTATTCTACGTAATGATGTTATTGTTGCACTAAACACAGGGGCTGTAAAATGATTGTATATGTTAGTTTAAATGTGTAAATATTTCTGTTATTGCATCCTTATGTACACTGACCGTGAATATTTTATTTTATGGTGTACTTGAATTAAATATATTACAAGCAAAGAAGGCATTTGAACTTGGAGTGAAACTGGCATGGCGGCTAGTATCCTGAACCCATCAAGCATGAAATTGCTACTAATAATACAAGTGACATGGGAGCAAAAACCCTGGAGCCTTAGCAGGGCAATTCCATTAACTCCAAACAACATTTTAACATATTTTAACAGATGTGAGATGAATGGCACCCGATAAATGAAACCTAATGTGAATAATCAACCACAAGATGGCATTTGGATACTAATAAATTTATTTAAAGTTTGAGAAAGTATTATAACTTAAATACATGTCTATACTAACCTCTTCCTATCCCCGGCTACTTTCTCTCATATCACCATGCTCTGAGATTACTAAGTTTATTTTCTCTGTTGTTTAATAGTATAAAAACATCTTATTTATTTTTCAACTTTTGTTTGTTTTTATCTCTTGTGATGGTTAATTTTATGTGTCAACTTGCCTGGGCCACGAGGTGCTCATCTATTTGGTCAGACATTATTCTGGGTGTTTCTGTGGAAGTGTTTTTGGATGAGATTAACATTTAAACTGGCAGACCGAGTAAAGAACATCATTCTCCATAACGTGGGTGGCCCTCATCTAGTCAGTCAAAGGCCTGAATAGAACAAAAGTCTCACCATCCCCCAAGTAAGAGAGAATTCTCCTGCCTGATGGCCTTCAACTTGGAACGTTGGCTCTTCGTGGTTCTACAGCAGCCTGCTGTCTTCAGACTCACACTGGAACGTGGGCTCTGCAGATTTTGGGTTTGCCAACCTCCATAATTGTGTGAGCCAAATCCTTATAATAAATCTATATATGTATGTATGTATGTGTGTATGTATGTATCTATTCTATGGGTTCCGTTTCTCTGGAGAATCCCAACAACTATCGCTCTCAATTTATTGTTGACTAAATCCCCACATAAAGCCAAGGACTTTCTCTTGTTTGCTATTATATCCCCAAGGTCCAAACTCACCTTTAATAATTGTGCCAACAACTGTTGCTGGATGAAAGTATCTTGGTGGGGGAGCAGTGATGCATTTAGATGTTTTGAGGGTGGCACTGAAGGGGTCAAATATGTCAGCTTGTGAAAACAGCATCAACTTGGGTAACTGGTGAAATAGTGTCCCATTGATATGAAAAGTAAAATGGAAGAAATTTTTAAGAGAGTCAAGGCATATTATTACTAAACAGGGAAGTTTATGTAAACTCTGCTGAAAGGAAGGGATCATCTATTCATGAATTTTAAGTATTGTTTATAGATATTTGGAAATTGTATATGTTGACAGAAAATTTTGAGACTCTTATATGGAAGTTTTGGCTAGCGCGGAAGTCTGCAATCATACGTTTGTTGCCCTAGAGATACTCAGGCTTGCCCACGTCATTCAGCTGAAAGCAAACCATAAAGAAATCAGTGTCAGTTATGATTACATACTTTGGTTGCCTCTAGTAGGAAGAGATGGAAGGGATAGAAATCAAGGGATAGAATGAAAGAGAACTTTTAAAAAGTCTTGTTGATGGTTTTCAGAACTCTGACTGTGAGTCAAGGGGATCATGTGTCGTGTTTGTGAGTTGCAAATTCTATTATGAATCACCGTCTTAGTGCATGGTGTTACTAATGATGACAAAGTAAAAAAAAAAAGAGAGAACTATATCCTGCATAACTGATTTATTTAACGCTTTGAATGGAGTGGGGGTACAATCAGGGAACAGCATTATTTTTCTCTCACCAATGCCTTTAAACAAGCTCTTTCTGATCTCTCTTTCCTTGCTCATGGATGGAAATTCTGGCAAATCCCACGGCCTTCAGTTCACTCTGGGCTGTGAGAACTGTCCTATTTTCAGATATTGACAGTCCAGTCCAGCATAACAGCCAACTTCAACCTCATCTCCAGTCCCCAACTTCTCCCCTCCTTCCTCTTCCACCCCTGAGGCATGGTTCAGGAAAATGCTGTGTGTAAGGGGTGAGGTCTGTGCTTTCCTTCACACTCCACCTTGGTCTCCACTTACCCATTCACAAATGTTTTCCTAAGTGGAGGTGGGACAAGGAATGGGGAGAGGGGATGAGAGGGAAAGAAGCAAAGTTCTATTTGCATGCGCATAGGTGATACTGTTTATATTGTCTCTGCAATGTCAAATTGCCCTCTGTCATGTAGACCTCCAAATGCTGGCTCTTTGGAGGGCATATTAGTGGAATCTTCAGAGACACTCTATGGGGACCTCTGCCTCACACTATGACACTCTCTGGCTAGTCCTTTCCATCTTCACCTTATTTTCTGCTTTCCAGCATGGCACCTCATGCTTCTTTCTTTAGTATCCTCTTCCAGATTGGAAACCCATTTGGGTGGGGTTCTTTCAAGCTCTCTCATGCGCAGCTGCTGCCACAGCATCCCTTGGCCCATGGAACTCGTGCTTACTAACCTCTCGCAAAGAGAAAAAGTGTCGACCACTGGCCTGCTGCCTCCTGACGCCTCTGTCCTCTGTGTGTCACGTCAGCTGATGCAGAATGCCTCCTGCCTTCTGACTCTTCCAGCTGGGCAGCCAACACCCCCCATCTCGTTGAGTGTTTCTTCACGCAGCCACCATCACCTGGCTTGGGGGTGGGGGGAGGGGGACAGCCTCTCCCCTTCCCCAGGAGGGGCAGTGAATTTGATGGCTAGTCACGAATCACCCTTGCCTAGCTGTGCACTGGGAGGTACCACAAGATGAGGCACCCCACTGCACCTTTCCCCTTTGACCAAGCACCGGGCACACCCTGCTCAGCTTGAATTCTGGGCCATGAGAGGTACCTGAGGAGTGGGTGTACATGTTCCAATGACTTTCAACATTTGTACAAGTAAGATATTTTAACTTTTTTTATTAATTAAAGGGGACCCTCAAATTGTATATACTTGGGCCCCACAGCACCTGGTTACGTCATCTCCTGAGGGAAATTGCTCAGAGTCCGAGGGAATTGTTTCTTATGACAATTCAAGGAAGACCACGGTTAGGAGATTGAAATGGGAAAGGTGGCCCCCACAGATTGTCTATTTTATCCTAAGAAATTGTCTCGGGAGGCTGCATTTAATTGGGACATATTTGGTTCAAATTTAAGAAGAAGTACTTTTACCCGTCCTCATTATTCTCAGTACGTGTATATCTGTCTATCAAGTTGTCTATCAATTCAGCTAATTTAAAGACATGAAATGGGAACATAGTATACACTCTATTCTGCAATTTCCTTTTCTTTACTTAAGATATCACAGACATTTCCTTCTCATTATATACAATGTCTCTCATTCTGCTTATCATAAGATGGTGCTATAATTATTAGTCTCTATTAATTGGCATTTAGCCAATTCTAATTTTTCTCTATTATAAACATACCTCTTTTATGCAATTTTTACTGTCCAACAGGCCATACAAATTTATACTCACCAAGACTATATGTCACTGGCCATTTTCTCACACTCTTAATAATGCCAGGTGCTATAAAATCTCTAAAATTTTTGCCAAATATATAGGCCCCAAATGGTATCTCTTTTCTTTAGTTTGAAAATAAATTATAAATGAAATTGAGGATTTTCACATATATGTATTTGACTTATTTAACTTTTATTTCTTTTGTAATGAATAGATACTTTTTCCTCTCCCACCTTCTAGTTCTGACTCTGGAAGTCCCATTAGGTCAATGTTAGTACAGGCTGGGTGGGATATTTAAAGCTCAACTTTTTCAAGAGACTGTCATGTGGCATTATCCTGTGGTAGGTTACTGCACTTTGAGTGGTTTTATCCACAGACATGGGGCACTTTTTATGCAGACGAGCAGTTGTACAATTTCCTTCAGGGCTGAGTTACCTAGTGCAATCGGTATGTGAGCCAGACAGCAGGGACATTGAGGCTGTGGTGATGGAAGGGTGTCATGCTAAGTCTGTGGCAACATGACCTTGATTCTCACTGGAACCAAAGTCTTCAGGAAACACTGAGGTGGAGTTAGACTTCCTGAGGCATTGGTGTTAGAACAATATTTACTGCTGTTAAACTACAAGGGATCTGAGTTCCGCCTACTCTACAGACCAATCGTGAGGTTCTAGGTTAAGGTGGCTGCCAGGCCAAAATAGGCAGCACCATGTCAGTTGGCTTCAAATGTCATTTTCCGTTCAGGGCCAAGAAGGGAAGTGTGGAGGGGCCAATCTTGAATTTAAGTGGCTGTCTTCAAGCTGAAGAGTCACCCTCACCATGTGGTTTCCAATTAGCTTTAAATTAGGGTTGCCGATCAAGCAAATAAAACTACAGGATGCTTGTTAAATTTGAATTTCAAATAAGCAAAAACATTTTTAAAAAAATATTTAGGCTATAGCCCACGGAATTTGGGGGGTTATACCAAAAAGTATTTGTTGTTTCTCTTAAATTCATATTTATCTGAGCGTGTTGAGTTTTATCTGACTACCCTATATACTAGGTGGATCAAATACATGTGCTTTTAACATAGCTTTAGATGTTAATTGTACAGTGTATAGTATTGAGAAGCAGCCCATGTAGAAGAATGGTCTTCACTTGGGCTCTAGGAGACCAAACACAATTATCCAAAGCAGCTCTGGTCTTTCAGCTGAAACAGACATAGGGAGTGAAAGAGAAACCATCCCTGACAGGCGATTTCCCCAGGCTTCAGTAGGGGAGCCACTGTCACAAAGCATTGAAAATGCCTGTTCACACAAGAATGCCAAGTACATCCTGGACAGAGCCACGCTCATCCCGATGTCAGTTTACCCAAAGAGAAAATGAGAAAATAAAATGACTGACTCTGCTGGATGGGAAATGAAGGCTCCTCAAATAAAACTTAGTGCCTGGAACTGCAGAAACATTAGTAAGAACAGCGTTTTCAAAAAAGCCACTTTCTGAAAGGGGACCAAGGACATATAGGTAGCTGTCTCCCCTAGATGTGTTCATGCATGGCGCCAAATGAAACTGTTGATGGAAGAGTTCTTCTGATGGAGTTTAAATTCCCAGGTTGTGGACTCTGGACAGTCGATAGAGACTAACCAGTATCATGGGGAATTGAATCAAGATTTTCTCCCTTATCTCCTTCTTTCAGACACCAATGAGTTTTTCCTTTAGACCAGGCACTGGTAAGCCCTGGGCTCTGAGAACATAATTTTATCTAGGATCATTGCCCTTCGGGTCTGCACGTTGGCTTGCTTCCTAAGTTTGGTAGCTGTGAAGCCCATGTTGTGATGTTCTGACCTTTCTTTGAACACACTGGACTTTTTAAAGGCAGGTCGTAGGAGAGGCTACTTCAACTTCTGGGGTCCGGAATGAACTACACTCTTCCAGCGGTCAGCCCAGTGAGCAGTGATGAGCAACGCTCCCTCTACCCAAACATCGAGGACCATTTAGTGAAGCTGAGCAAAATCTAGACATTAGGGAGGAGGAGGAGTATTAAATTTCAGTTTCTTTGGATTTTTAATTCACAAGGGTGAAAGCTTTTGGAGATTAAATATTTTAGATGGTAACTTAAGAATTTTGAATTTTGATCTCTTTGGGATTTAATCTTCAGATTTTAATTTCTAAGGAAGAAATTTATAATGGGAGGGTCTTTATATGCAAATCTGAAGCAATTTTATATTTTTGGAATTTTACTATCTAAATAATAAAAGATTTACTACAAACACATTATTGGAATTATCTTAATGTTGAACAACCTCTGATACCATAGCTAGCTAGATATAGTTTGGTTAGAAAATAGAGTGAGTGTTCATCCTTGAGTACAGATTGTCCCAAAGAAAG